CTATTTTTCAGATACCACAACTTCGAAACAAATCGACATGTCTGTATTAAGAGAATTGATTTCGAAACGATGGACTCTCCCTCTTTCAAGTGATGTATAATATTATGGAGATTCTATCTATATACCAGAGGTATAAAACATTAAAGATCTATACGTAAAGTGGTGTAATTTTAGTAATTTTTTGGTAACCACCTTTCCGATCCCATAACGTGGAAACTAATCGAACTACATATATGAAATGGGTTGATTTTGAAAGTAAGGACTCCCTCTCGTTTCATTGATACATAATAATGTGGGGGCCCCACCTAAATACGAGAGATATAGCACGATGGAAACGAATACCTAAAAGGACCTAATTCTTGACTCGTGTAGGTAAGCATCTTTCAGTTTCCATAACTGGAAAACTAATCGACATATCTGCATGAAATTAAATGATTATAAAACTATGGACTCTCCTTCTTTCCAGTGATGCATAATATTATGGAGACTACACCTATATACCCGAGATGTGGCACAGGGAAAAATATATACCCTGAAAAACGTAATTTTAGAAATTTATAGATAACCATCATTTAACTCCAATAACTTGGAAACTAATCGGCATATCCACATGAAATAAACTGATTTCGAAACTATAGACTTCCTCTCTAGACAGTGATCCATAACAATGTGGGGATTCATTTAAAAATTTCTTAGAAAATTAATTTTGTCAATTTTTTCATATCATTTCAATAGGGCAGGTTACCGCTTTGAAAGGTCTATATTTCTAATAATTTTTTATTATAAATTTTTTTACAACATTTTTCAAATCCCCATAATCGTCCAGGTTTTTTAACTTTAAATGCAAATATATTAAATTAAAATTCTAATATAAAATTTTTGACAAATTTTCAGGCTATATTTTTTATTTAATTTCAAATCTCCTCGTACAATCAGTTCATTCACATGTCACATCACCGCCGCAAAAAACAGCACTTGAATGATAAAATACAATATAATCAGCTACTTAGCTATAAAATATTGAACATTTTATAAATTATTAATTTATGTGCGTTCCCGTCCCAACATTTGCCCAGAGGGGGCATGTACATTTCTCCACACGTTATCGTAATATACGACATGCAACGATAATTATGTGCGTCGATTGTGACAATTTCGAAAAAAAGAAAAACAAAATGTTGGCATTGATCATTTTTAAATGTTTTTTTCAAAAACAAGCAGTCTCTTGCTCCAGAAAAAATTTGCTACGCAATTATCTTGAATTTTGTACGTTTGGGAATTTGAAAAGAAAGAAAAACAACGAAAACAATATTTTAAAGATAGAAAAAAAGATAATACACACACCTCCAAAGATTACTTTGTTTCCAGCAATTATTGTCAACATGCAGGTAGCTGCTGTTTGAACCTCAACCGATCAGGTACCTAACTACCAGTGTGGTAATCGTCCCAGATTTACTTGTCTCGGTTACAGTGAGTGAGCGGCTTTCTGAGAAAGTGTATTTATTACGGAACATCATTACCTATTTACATTTGGTAATTTCCATTTTCAAAGAAGGCGAGAGAGGGAGAGTCGCTGTTACTCTCCCTCGAGCTCTCTGTTAATTCAATGTCATGATCAGCCAGAGGATTGACCCCTTAAATGAGCAGAAAATGACCAATCACAGTTAATTATAATAATTACTCTCTCTATATCTCTGAGAGTTGGGTTAGCATCAGTTTGAGAGGTAATTGAAAGCAGAGAGCATAAGAAATGCTAAGAGTTGCCATCATATAATTCAGCACAAATAAAAAATGGAAGAAGTGATTTGAACTGACTTTAAAATATATATATTTGTTTCAACAAACTGACCGTGTTTTTTTAATTTTTCTAAAGGACGAAAACAATAGATTTTAAAGGAAATTTTTAAGAGCCAAAAAAATTAGGAATATTTTTTATCGCAGGACTAATTTAGTTCCCAGACGAGATCTAAAAAAAAATAAATATTTTTTAGTAGCTAAGCTAATATTTTTCGAAAATCTGGCATTGGAATTAAAAAATGAAATTTCATATGCCAAACTGAAAAGCTAGAAAATCAGAGTTATGAGAATATTTTTCGAAAAACTGAAAAGCCAGAAAATCGGAGTTATGAGAATATTTTTGCGAAAAATTGGATTTGGAATTATGAAATCAAATTTCTTGTGCCAAATGGAAAAGCAAGAAGAGGGGAATTGTGAAAATTGGCGGATCAAGATGTGTACTTATCCATTGCAGAAAGTGGAGAATTTGCAGCAGGGGGGATACAATACTTGGCCCATCGAGGCAAAATACGGAGACAGAAATGTTAATGTTGGAAGTGTCAAAAGGTTCTTGCAACAACTTATTTAAGTGTGAAACCATCTCAGTTGAATGTTATCAATAATTGAAATAAATGCTTAGGAGACATGGGCAAAACTGCAAGAAGTTAAAAAATCTCCAATCTAAATGCTTGGCTTGTAAATGGAGGATAATGGTGCAACATATTCATGAATTCGTGGAAATATCGGAGAATCTAACCGAAATCGAGATACAGATTCAGAAGTAGCTTTTATTATTTTATTGACTAGTCTTTCGAGAGAATATGAACATTTTAAGACCAGGAATAAATTGCCAAGTTTTTCATCGCTTTAAAAAAAACCTACTGGAAGGGTAGGGAGAAAAAAGTTTTTTTTATGCAAAATCGAATAGGCGTCGAACAAAGTTTAAAGAAACTGCAGAATATACGTAAAGACATTAATTTGTTGAAATATCGAAGAAGCAAACAGAAATAAAGATACAGATTCATAAGGAGCTATTAAAAAATATTTTATTGACTAGTCTTTCGTGAGATTATGAGACAAGGGACAAATTGCCAAGTTTTTCATTGCTTAAACAAAAAACGGCTGGAAGAGGTAGAAAGAAAAAATCCAATGAAGAAGGTTGAATGTATTATGTGCCGGAAAACGAAGTTTTTGTTACAAAATCGACCAAGCTTCGAGCAAAGTTCAAAGGAGCTAGGGAAATAAAATTCAAGGTAAAGATAACAAAAAGGAAATGTTTAAAGGAATGGGTTTTTTGTGTGGCCAAATTGGTCACTATGCCAGGAAATGCGATTTTAATCAGAACCAGCATAAATCTTATGATTTATGTTAATAGCTGTTGCAGATGCAAGTAAGCTCAATAACTAGATGTTGCATTTACATGGCGGGTGAACGTTTTGTATTCTCCAGAGTTACAGGCAAACTTCATGTCTGCCATTTCTGTTAAGGCAGTGAATCAGGGACTCAATACCGCGTTTACCAAGTCGAGTGCGGTCATTATAACGGAATATATTAACAATATTCTGAAAGTATTGGAGTATTGAAAATTAATGCCATGTATTTCTCCAAAATCGCCAAGAAAGAGCATTTGTGATGACAGAAAAAGAAAATCCATATACCACCGTTCCTAAAAAACATCTTCAGCGAACGATCAATTTAATGAGCAATTTTGCTGGTTTTAACGTATTTGCATTTAAAGTTATTTATTCTTCAAGGATCCGATGGAGCCATTCAATTGGAGGTTTTAGAAGTATTTTCCTTTCGAAATTTCAATCTCATTTTTTTTTGTGAAGCCACCCTACTTGCATTTATAAAGACGTTTTTTCTTATAAGTCTCTACAGAGGAAAATTCTTTTACAAAAAAAAAAAAAAAAAAATAATAATAATAAGGCAAAAACTCAAAAATAATAATAGTTTTTTCCATATTAAATAGAGTCAAAAACATTTTTTCTAAGATCAAATGGAGTCACGAAATGTGGATCTATTTAAAAAATATTTTTTTTTTTTGAATCTCCAATAGAGGTAAAATATTACTTTTCAAGGAAGACCTAATTTTGATTTAAGACAAAATTAAAGGATCCGTGATTTCGTTGGAAATAAATGTTGCAATAGATCCAAGAGTATTTTAGCCACGGTGTCATAGAGCACTGGAATGTGGATCTTTTCTTAAAAAACATGTAGTTGAATGCCTAACAGAGCCGAGAAAATTATTTATTTATAAAGGGCCAAACATATTTTTTTGAGGATCCAATCCAGCCCAGACCATTTTTTTCGAAACATCATCCCATAGAGTCACTTAATGTGATTCTTTAAAAACAAATATTTTTTCGAAGATTCAACAGAGCAAGATAAATATTTTTTCGAAAAGGCTTAGTGAACAGAGTGATGAAATTTGGTAGGCTTCCAGATTCCGCATAAAAGGAACATTTTCTTTTTCAGCTCTGCCACACAGGATGTTTACGGCTTCAATGGAGGATGTGCGCTTAAATGGAGACTCTCTTTCCAAGATCGTCCCATCGGCACAGTAGTTGAAACAATGAACTGTCAAACTAATTTTGAAATTGAAAATTTTGAATCAAAAATCATTTATATTTGTAAAATGTTTTAAATATCTTAACAACCTAATACCTCGTATAAGAAACCTAATAGGCCTCGTATAAGAAAACATATACAAATCTACTTATTTTTTAAAATCATTTAAAAAATCTTGACATATCAATGTTCCCAAGGGTTTATGCATCTACTTGTATTCTTCTACCCTGGATCGCCTGTAAGGAAAGATCCCAGGTTCTGTCTGGAATCAGATTGCCTAAAACACATTCTCTAGGGCTCAGCTCGTATTTTTTTCACTTTTCGACGGACATGGTAACCCATATTTTTATTAATTTTAAAAAACAGTTGTTTTTCTCAATTTTTTTTTATTAAATAAATATTTTTTAAATAAATAAATCTTTTATAAACTTTGAGAAAATCTTTGTTAAACAATTATTTGTTTTTTTTTTTAATTTCTAAATAAATTGTTTTATTTCTTATCTCTGCTTGAATGTATGAGAGCCAGAGAGTGACTGTCTCATTTATTAACTTTGGCCTCTCTCTCTCACTCTGAGCATTAAAAATCTCAGCAACCGCTATCTTTGTTTCCTCTTCACTGTTTACTTTGTGATCTTGCCAGTGGCGGCATTGTTAGCTCAGTTACATTTTGTGACTCGCCATTGACGGTTGTTTTTTTGACGGGCAATTTGTGACGAATTTATTTTCTTCTTTGGTTTCGAGTGAATCGCCAGTGACCCATTGATCTCGTGCGGTTTAAAAAAAATATAAAAATCACAATGACAAAAAATTAATAAAAAAAATAATAAACAAAAGAAAAGAAACAAAGTCTCGTGATAATTAAAGAAAAAAAAGAAACGTTTGATAAAAAAACAAAGAAATTTTGTTCTTAAAAATATAAAAAAAAAAATAAATAAAAACCCATATTTACCCAGAAACGTGAGTGTTATTAATAATGAATGACGGACTGAATGCCTAGCAGACAAGTGACATATTTTCATTCAATGATAAAAATAAGAAAGAAAAAAAAAAATAAAAATATTTCTGTTTTTGGATAAGCATATGCAGTGCATTTTGGGTATCAATAGGGGTGTTCGGCTATGGGTGGGGGGAGAGGTCACTGACATGGAGAAGAAATATTTGAAAAACAAATAAAACAAGAAAACATTACCATTGAAATTTCAAAGGAAAAATCCCAAAATAATAAAAAGTTTAATAAAAAAAATATTTTAAAAACATAAAAAAAAATATTCTGAAAAAAATATTTAAAAAAATATTAAAAAAAAATATTTGAAAAAAACATATAACAAAAAATCCACCTTTTATAAGGGGTTGACATTAAAAAATAATGCAAAAAAATCCAATTCAAAAAATAATCTGAAAAAAATTTAAAAAAAAATACAATTGCATCGTATTATTACAAGAAAAATAATAATAATAATAATAATAATAATAATAATAATAATAATAATAATAATAATAATAATAATAATAATAATAATAATAATAATAATAATAATAATAATAATAATAATAATTACAAAAAATGTATGTTATAAGGGGTTAACATTAAAAAAGAATACAAAAACATCCAATTCCAAAAAAAAAAAAGATTTGAAAATTATCTCCTTATCTTGTTTGGAGGAGATATAATAGCACTGGAATTAGAATAGCACTGGAAATTTCTAGCTCAAAAAATTGTAAAGAAAAATCGCTAAAAAACAAATTAAAAAAATACAATTAAGCCAAGTAAAAAAGCTGTAAGTAAGGCCGGGCCGAACTTTGAATACCCTCCACCATTTGGAACGAATTTTGCAATTCTCAAAAACAATAAAATCCGTTAAAAATTCTGTTAAAATCTTAAAAATACCGAATATAGCCGTTATATTAGGACCTGCATAGGTACACGGTATGTACACGGACCTGCATAGCTAACTTTTGTCATAAGCCATTACAATATTCAAATGCGAACCTTAAAAAAAATCGGTGAATCCGGATATCGGGAGGTACCGTTATATGGGGGCTATACGAAGACTTGGACCTGCACAGACAATTTTCTGTCATAGGCTGCAGCATCCATTACGAACTTCAAATACCAAATTTGAAACAATTCCGGTAAATAATGTCGCTAAAATCATGAAAATACCGAATATCTGGAGGTACCCTTATATGGGGGCTTTACGAAGAGGTGGACCTGCACAGACAATTTTCTGTCATAGGCTGTAGTAACCATTACGAACTTCAAACACCAAATTTGAAACATTTTCGGTGAATAATATCGGCAAAATCATCAAAATGCCGAATATCGGGAGGTACTGTTATATGGGGGCTATATGAAGACCTGGACCTGCACAGACAATTTTCTGTCCTAAGCTGTAGTATTCATTACGAACTTCAAATACCAAATTTGAAACAATTTCGGTGAATAATGTCGGTAAAATCATCAAAATACCGAATATTGGGAGGTACTGTTATATGGGGGCCATACGAAGACTTGGACCTGCACAGACAATTTTCTGTCATAGGCTGCAGCATCCATTACGAACTTCAAATACCAAATTTGAAACAATTTTGGTAAAAAAATGTCCATAAAATCATTAAAATACCGAATATTAGGAGGTACTGTTATATGGGGGCCATACGAAGACTTGGACCTGCACAGACAATTTTCTGTCTTAGGCTGTATCATCCATTACGAACTTCAAATACCAAATTTGGTGAAAAATGGATCTTAAATCTTCAAAATACCGAATATCGGGAGGTACCGTTATATGGGGGCTTTACTAAAACGTGGACCTATATGGCCCATTTTCAATACCAAAAGTTCTGCAGACATAACATACATTTGAGTGAAATTTTATCAACCTACTTCATTTCGTTCGGAAGCTAGAGTGATTTCCACAGACGGACGGACATAGAATTGTATGCTGATCAAGAATGTATATACTTTGTGGAGTCTAAAATGTATATTTCGAGGTGTTACAAACGGATTGACAAACTTAATATACCCTCCATGCTATGGTTGGGGGTATAAAAATATTTTGGATTTATGTTCTTTATTACCTGAGGATGGGGAAATAGCTGAAATAAAATTAAACTCAAAACAATAGCAATTATTTAGGCAAATGCGAAAAGCAAGAAAGATGCTAATATTAAAAAAATATATAAATAATTTTTATTTCCTTTTAATTATTTTATATTTCAAAATACACATCTTTTTCAATTATATATATTAAAAAATAGATAATAAAAATTTTGGTATTAAAATTTCAAAACTATTAAAAATATGCATTATTTAAACTATTTTTAATTTTTATTTCCTTTTTTATTTTTTTATATTATATATTATATTTCAAAATAAATATTTTTTTTAAATATTTTGAAATTGTATATATATTATATGAAATATTTAATACAAAATTAAAAAAAAAAAAATATTTTATTTAATCTTTTATTAATTTTTATTTCCTTTTTGTAATTTTATATTTCAAAATACATATTTTTTAAATTTTTTCAAACATTATACAAATTTTTAATTAAAAAAAAATAAAATAAAAATGTTGGTATAAATTTTTTTAAAATTTTTATTTTGAAATATATAATTACAATAAGGAAATAAAAATTAATAATCGTTTTATTTTGTTTATTTTCTTTTTATTATTTTATATTTCAAAATACATATTTTTTTAAATATTTTGAAATTGTATATATATTATATGAAATATTTAATTTTGAAAAAGTAAATTAAAATTAATTAACGTTCAAAATTAAAAAAAGGTTATTTAATTTTTTTACTAATTTTTATTTCCTTTTTGTAATTTCATATTTCAAAATACATATTTTTAAAAATTTTCAAACATTATATGAAATATTTAATTAAAAAAAAATAAATTAAAATAAATAAAAATTTCGGCATTAAAATTTTTAAAAAATATGTATTTTGAAATATAAAGAATTACAAAAAGGAAATGAAAATTAATAATTGTTTTTTTTTTGTTTTTTTTTTAACTATAGCCTTTCTTTAGCTTGAAGAATAAACAGAAACACATTCTTAAGATAAGATATAATTAGTGCTATCTGAGGACGATTTTTTATACTTCTTATTGCTCTGCTTCACAAAAAAATTGAAAATAAAAAAAAAAAAAAAAATAAAATAAAGAGAACATTCATTGTCTTTCGAAAACCCTCCAGTTTGAGTGAAGTAATGTAATCCCCTCTCATAAACGGCTATGCATATAATTTCAACACGTTTCTAGATAAGCTGTGGCATAATAACTACACCAGAACGTGCCGTATATGAAATATTAAATATTTTACATTTTAAATAATTTTAAATTATTTTTTAATTCAAAGGGGATGAGCTCTTTTTCGAATATAAATCCACGTGTCTCTGATAAAAAAAAAACACTTCGAAATAAATAAAAACAAAAAATAATAAAAAAAAATAAAAACTGAAATAAAAAAAAACAAATAAATAAATAAATAAAAAAAAAAAACAAAAAAATAAAAAAAGAAAAATTGAAATAATACAAAAAAAGAATAAAAATAAATAAAAATTTTAAGTAGTTGCAAAATAGTTAGACTTAATCCCATTATTGTTGTTTTTATAAAAACAACACTTGTTTATTAGTGGAGAAAGGTGGTAATGTTTACCAGGGGGTAAGGCAGGGAATATGGGACCATTATGCTATGGTTTTACTAATATCCTCCTGGGTTAACTTCAAAATGAAAGATTTTGAAGACTCTTGTGGTGTACAATATAAAAATATTTTCCAATATTTTTTTCGAAAAAGTAAATATTTAAAAGAAATATATAACGTTGGAAGTCTGAAAATTTAGTACGAGGTATGAAATTTTTATATAAAAAAATTTGACAAACTCCGAACAAATTGTGTGATAATTTTGAGTTCTAAAAAGGCCTAACAGGCATTTTTGAAACGAGTCTAAAATTTTAAGGCGGACTTTTCTCTAACAAAGAATCGGGCACTTGCTGGTTATCTATAATTCTATTTGAAAGTTTACTTTCAAAATATTCAAACTTTTGGCTCTGATCGAATTCTAACAAACCCTTAGATATGATTTCTTTGCATTCACCACATATCCGTTCAAGTTAATTAATTTTTATTTGTATTTTGTTGTTGCTGCTATTGATTCCATAAAAAGAAAGTAATTTTATTTTCCGACGTGTTGTATCATCAACACATTCCGCTTATATAAAAAGCAACTTTAAACTGGTTTAAAAGCCAACAACAAAAGCAGTATTAAGGGAATTTTATTCAAATTAGAATGTTGTTATAATTTATTTTAAGCTTTCGAGATGAGTTCAGAATAAAGTGAGAATTTTTATTTATGTTTTTAAATTTTTTAAAGTATCATTTTTAAGAAAAATAAGAAATACCTAAAAATATATTTTTCTTACTTTTTTTTAAAATAAAAATTTATAAATCAAGGGGTTAAGGTATGGAACCTAAATTCCCTAACCAAGTAGCCCAATGAGTTCAGAATTTTGAAAACTAGACATTTTCCATTAAATTAGCAAAAAAATGTGTTCTTGGTAAAAATTTGTTTTCATTATTTTTATATAAATTTGAAAATTCATATCAGAAAATCATTTCCGAATTTAGAAAACTATTCAAAGTTGACTGTTGTTATAATTTATTTTAAACTTTTGAAATGAGTTCAGAATTAAGTGAGAATTTTTAAAAAGTAAATATTTTTTTTGAAAAAAAAAATTATATCACTTAAAAACATATTTTTCTTAAAGTTTTTTTTTTTTAATAAAAAATTAAAAATCGATGGGTTAAGGTATGAAACCTAAATTCCCCCCTCAATAAACCAATGAGTTCATTTTTATAAAAAATTATACGTTTTAGGTTTTAGATATGCACCCTGAAAGTTCTGTCAGATATACAACTTGAAAGTTCGTATCAGAAAATGAC